GGAGAGGCGGGGGGTGGGTGGGGGAGTGTGTGGGGTGGGTGAGGACGGTCCTCCGTCTCCGTCCCTCGTGTCTCTGGCAGGAATCTGGGAACAAACGGGGAGCTTCACGGCGGCGGCACTTCAGAGGGGGCGGAGCGAGGGCGGGGTCAGACTCACTTCTAAGGCTTCGTATGGCATGTCCCGCTAAAAGCTACCAGCTCCAACCAGAGACCACCTGCTTAAAACCTGGTGTCTGGCTGGGGACTCTGTAATCCACACTGAACCGGTCCTGACCTCCCGTCCTCCGCCGAGCCCCTCGTCTACTCTGACCCCTGTTGGACTCTAGAAGGCACTGGTTTGGACTTGTTTCTCCACATTCTAACAGCTAAGAAGAGCAATCGAGGCAATGAGGAACACAAACACTCGGACCAGCCGAGGGGGGAGGGGGTCCAGCTGGCTCCCACCGATGCTACCGGTTTTGCTTCACGCGCCTGGTGGTGTCACAGCGGTTTGAACAGTCTGCTAACGGCAGAGGCATTTGAAGATGTAAACRTTGACAAGGCTAACATCAGAATAGGCGAAGACGGAATAAAAAAAACAAAAAAAGAAGAAGAAAAGTCGGTGCTGAAACGACGGGTCAGCTGTTCGGTTCTTTTCTCACAGCTGGAATGTGAACTGGAAAGTCTGGAGCTTCATCCCCAGCTGGTTATTTACACAGTGAACAGAACTAAGCTCTACTCTACACAACACGTGTGGCTGGTTCTGGAGTACGTCTGGAATGATCTAATGAGCAGTTAGATAAAGTTTACACTTCTACGTCCTCGTTCAAGTAGCTAAGTAAAGTGTCTATTTTAGGCTCTGTTTAACGACCCCGAAGTTTTTTAAAAAACCTGATTTTCTGCTGGGTTTGAATTAAATGTCTGAAGTCAGCTCTGTTAGCATGTTAGCGTGAAAATTAAGGAAGTATTCACTGAATGTTTATTTATAGCTGACTGAAGCCGGGAAAAACAAAACGAGGCTCAATTTCAGTGAATTTTTCAGACGTCGAGATAAAATTCAATGTGATAGTAGCCTTTAGCCATTTGTAAGACATGCTCTTTATGCTAATAACTGTAAGATTTTTAAATCCTAGGAATTATTACGTTTTATCCTGTATTTGTCACTAATGAAAAATGACCTTCAGTGTTAAGATTTCAAATCTTAAAACTTGACAAAGTTGTTAATAACTGAGAGGAACAAAAAAAAAAAAATTTTTATGTGGAAATGTCAAGCGCTTTTTACACAACTCCCGCTTACGCACCCTGTCAATCACAGTGTGACAAAAGCATTTAGTACAACTAATTAAAACTAAACATATTAAAAAATAATAAAGCAGTGGAGCTATAAAAACTACTTCAATCAATAAGWAAAAAATCAAAGTCTTAGAAATAAATTATGTGACGTTTATTTTTATTTACTTATTGTTTTAGTCAGGAAACTGTCCTATTTGTTCGCATTAAGGGGCGGGGCTTAACGTTCAGCAGCCAGCCACTAGGGTGCACTTGTCATTTGTGACTTCAACTTCTAGCTTTTGGTCCCGTTTTTAGTTTTGATGAGTTAAGAATGTTTTTTCCTCTGTTTTGTGTCRTTATTGTTGATGTTCACCAGCTGAGCGGCGTGGTGTAGATATTTTTTGTGTTTTGGCTAGAACAGCGTCGAGAAAGAAAAAATACAAAGCAATAGATGGAACTTTAGTTTACAAAGTTAAAACTATCATCTACACTAAATTTAGAATGTTTTWAACAGATAATTTATTCCCTATTGACGTAAAAGCTTCCTTCTGCAGCTCCACATTAATGACAAAACAGAACAAGTCAGGGTTAGGTTTCATTTCCCTTTGAGATCGTTTAGCCTCTCAGTTATTAACAACTTTAAACACAAACCTTTACACAAAAAAGGCACCATTTTGGGTGATTTCTAGGACAYGAAGTGTTAGTGAGCTGCTATTTTATCATTTTTGCAAAGATCCGTACCTTGAGTCCATACCGAATATGAAAATTGATTTAAAAGTTTGTAGATGGAGGTGCAAACACAGCAGAAAATGATGKTTTTTCAAAGCTTTGGGAGTAAAGTAGTCAGGGCCCGAGGCTCAAATGCGCTGAGGAGGCGACAGATGCTCAGAGCTCTACTTTGTTCCAGTCAGGCAGTGAAGAAGAGCTGAGTTTTCTCAGTGACGGTCACTTTCCTACATTTCCTCTTTACTTTTGCTCGACTCCTTCGAGTGAATCTTCATAAGTCARAAGTAACATTTTTACAGTTTTGTACAGTTAAAAAACAACAGGTGTTATTTGATTAAACTGAGCAACACAAACGTCTCGTACTTGCAGCGCATTTGTGCCTTAAAACTAAATTCTGTACAAAAAGCTACAATCCTATCGCTCTGTTTTCTACATGCTACTGACAGAATACAAGGTTTGAATAGACTGTATGCAAAAAGCTTCAGTGTATAAGAAATATAGCTTCCATTCCTTCTGTCATCTGCATTTTTAGTCTCCTCTTCTTTTTTTCCTTTTCTTYCTTTCTTTTTTACACATGTCGAGTCCAGAACTGAGATCAGATTCTCTGATCGTACAAAAATAAATAAATTGGACCACTTTCCCTTATGTTTGCTTTTTGTTCCAAGAGAAAAAACAAGTATTAAAAAAAAGCATTCAAAGTAAACGATATCTTTTTAAGCATTKTCATGTATTTAGAGTCCAGGTTTTCTCTGTGTTAAAAGGTCCCCTGCTATTTGAGCTGAAATGTGAACTTAAAACAAAATAAAATTAAAAAAACAACAAAAAAAACAGTTAAAAAACATCTGTTGCGACGAGCTCTAAGTGGCAGTAGAGAATTTGTCGCGTCTTTTTTCAGGAACTTCTTTGCTTCTCTTTTCTTTGAAATCAGTGGATCTTCTCAGAGCTGCTWACAAATAAATATGTTCTTTTTTTAAAGTCTCTTTAAGTAAAGATTTGTTTGTGTTACAGAAAGACAGGAGGAGGGAGTTTGGACGTGTGCGGCTGCTACTTGAAAATGTAGTTGATGAGGACCTGCAGGGCGATGAGGAAAACGATGATGACGAAGTCGCGCTGCTGGAGGAAGGAGCCGCTYTCCGTTCGGCCGACGGCACGACTCCGCAGCACGACGATGCTCCTGGAACACACACACAGGTGTTTGAATGGAAACACTGACGAGCGTGACGTCATCGTGCGGCTCAGAGCCGGTCTCACCTGTTGATATCCTCCTGGGTCTGCTTTATAGATTCAATGGCACTTTGAAGTTCACTGAGGTCGGCACCTTTCTTCCTCAGACGGCTGTTGTGTTTGCTTTTGYGTCCTGAACAAAACAGTAAACAATATACGTTGTTTGTTTTGATAAATCAAACTGTAGCGGYAAAGAACGACCAGGCCGGGGCCAGTCCTGGAACAGATCTAATGATCCYATGATGCTTGCTAAAATCCTTCTCTGTTTTATATTTTAATTTCAGACACAAAATCATACATAATTACATTTCATTGACAGATTTAAAGACGTTTTAAAAAGAGAAAAAAAGCAGCAAAGTCTTTGGAAGGAAAAACYAGGGTTGGGCAAAATCRTATTGTGTGCGATTRTCAGAAAAACCATCATCAATTAATGTTTTCCACTTTGTGATTAGTGTATTTTTTGTCATTCTTATAATGTATTAAAGGTCTTATTGTTCCATACTTTCCTAGCAGAGCACTTCGCTCTCAGACTGCAGGTTTACTTGTGCTTCCTGGAGTTTCTAAAAGTAGAATGGGAGGCAGAGCTTTCAGTTATCAAGCTCCTCTCTTGTGGAACCAACTTCCAGTTTCTGTCCATGAGGCTGACACTCTGTCTACTTTTAAGATTAGACTGAAGACTTTCCTTTTTGATAAATCCTATAGTTAGACTTAGGTTTCTTTAATTATTCCTTAGTTATTATAGTTAATTAGTTCTGCTGCTATAGGTAGACTGCTGGAGGACAAACTGACGACATTTCCTCACTCTGCTGTTGTCTTTAGTCACTCTCCTCCGCATATTTGTTTTTATTCTATCAATAGCAAGTTTTCTTTGTCTCTCTTCCAGAGGAAAATACACCTGGACCAGTCCTGTGTCTCTTTCCTGTCCCACAAACCCAGCCGGTCGAGGCAGATGGCCGCCTGTCCTGAGCCTGGTTCTGCTGGAGGTTTCTTCCTGATTAGCAGGGAGTTTTTCCTCTCCATCGTTTGATCTGGATGGGAGACTGTGATGAAGTGATTCAACGCCGTCTGCTGGCTTCTTTAGATATTTTTTTTTGTGTGTGTAAAGTGCCCTGAGATGATGTTCATTGCACTATATAAATAAACTGATTTGACGTTTTGTATGTAACGTGCAGCATTCTCACTATCAAGCATGCAGGTGAACCCAACGGTGGAAGGTGGTGTGGAGCTAACGCTAACCCCACAAACTTGTTTCATCACCTGAAACACCACCATAAACCAGAGGACAAATCCAGCTAAGAATAAAAACAAATCTACTCAGCCAAGAATCCACGCGGTACTAATCTGTCCCTTATGAGCAGCAAAGTGCTGGAAGGTGGTAACGCAGGGTGGGTCATGGCAGAGCATTTTATTAAAAATCTGCTGCCTCTCTACACTGTGGAAAAGGTGGGTTTGAATTCATATCTTACTATTTTAACCTGTTAAAATAAACTAGTTTAACTGATTAGGTGTAATCCTACAACACAGACTAACTGATTTAGAGTCAAAACACAATAATCATCTATTAACTGTTTTTGGATAAACGCCGCAATTAATCGTAAAATAATTTTTTGCCAGTATCACTCAACCCTATGAAAAACCTTTAAAACATGAAGACGTTTGCCTGAACAACAGAGTGTAGATAAAAGGACTGAAGTGATTGTGTATCTTTAAGCGTCTGTGTGAGTTTAACAGAGTGTGGCTCACGCTCACTGCCAGACGAGTCTTGGCGGTCGAGTTCAGGTGAAGAGCAGCCGCTCTCTGGGCTCTTGGGCTTCTCGCTCTTGTGTTTCCTCTTTGGCACCGTTACCTGTTTAAGCATGCACACATACACACGAACAGGTCAGACAGGCCTGGTGCTGCAGCTGAATGTAGATCAAATTTAAATACATTAATAAAACTGTGTTATATGCCATTAGCACCCAGTCGACACAGGTGAATGATAACAGCATTAGGCAACATTCAAAAGTAACACAYAGCTGGCATTTAAAAGTAACCAAACTGCCAAGAGCTGAAACATAAACTACTCAGTGATGAGTCA